CGTTACAACCCGTATCTGAAGAGCGACTCCTGCATAAGGAGCGGGGTTCGTGCAATGAAGTTTACCATCAACCCTTGGCGTTTCAGCCAAAGTCAAGAAAAGAAAGCAGAGTACATGTCTGTGTGTCTGTTCAGGGTCTTTGCTATTAGCACAGCCCTGGGGCCTCAATGAAGGCAGGTGACAGATCAGTAGTGAAAAAAAATAAAAGAGCCTATTCCATAAGGCTGGTAAACCCCAAAGCCACAGAAATCCGAATTTGGGCCTAGAAACACTTTATACCTAGACAGTGGGCTTTTAAAGCAGGTTACACATGTAGGATTTGGGACGACTGAACCCCTAAAACTGGCCCCCAGCTGAGAAAAAAAAAAATGGCATGGCCACATTGGCTCCCTTCCAACCCCCCTCTCACAGGATCCCAGCCAAGGAGGGCTGGGAGGGGTCTCAGGCAGTCACATGTAGTCCAACCCCCTGCTCCAAGCAGGACCAGCCCCAGCTACATCATCCCAGCCAAGGCTTTGTCTAGCTGGGTCTTCAACACCTCCAAGGATGGAGACTCCACTACCTCTCTGGGGAACTTGTTCCAGTTGCACCACCCTCCTTGTAAGAAAGTTTTTCTTCATATCCAACCTCAAACTTCCCTTGCTGCAGCCTGAGCCCATTGCTCCTTGTCCTGCCATCTGCCCCCACTGAGAACAGCCCAGCTCCATCCTCTTTGCAGCCCCCCTGCAGGGAGGTGAAGGCTGCTATTCAATCCCCCTCAGTCTTCTCTTCTGCAGACTGAAAAAAACCCACCAGTTCCCTGGTTTATTCTCCGTTCTCTCCCACTTCAGGTCTGGCAGCATTGCCTTCCCAGCAAGTCATAGGACGTGCCATTCACAACACTGTCTGGAGTCCCTCCTTTGGGGGGGGTCTCTCAAACCCTGTCTTCTCCACATCTGCAAGGCTTCAAATGATGGCTTTCTGCCCAGATTCTGGGGTACTTGCCCTTCATCCTCCAGCTTCTGGTGCTGTAAATAACAATCCTACCGATGCTATCCTTCCTTCCCTTCAGGACCCTCTTCCCTAGGTCTTCCTTTCACCTTTGTCTTTGCCCAACTGGACAATCCTGAAGAAAGGACGAGTCCTCCGGGAGCTCCAGTCTCGCTGCGACAGCCCTCGAGGGCTCTGCCCTGATCCTCCTCCTCCCCTTCTCTGGATGGCTTGCATTGCTCCTACTGCTCGAGACCACCGACTCTCAGCGCTACCTCTCTCCTCCCAAGCAGTCTCCCTCTCTAGCCATTTCTCATCTCAGCCCATCCACTCCAGGTCAGCTTAGACCTCATTTTCTGTCCCTGCTGTTACCGCACTGTGACCCAAGCCCCACACCCGGTCATCCTCAGTTCCTCCACCCCTGCCGCCCGCATTCGGGTGCTGCCAAATCCTGCCATTCCTTCCTCCGTACCATTTTTAAAGCCGTGACCTATTCCGCTTGCCCCGCCGGCTGATGCTGCAGCCCAGACCCTTGCCGTCTCCCATGCGAACTATGCCACGTGCCGCATTCGGGCACCTGAGCCCCGTCTGACAATGCAGCCGCTAAGATCACCTTCCTTGCTCGCGTGTCTTGCCGGAGCACACCGTCCCTTCTGGGAATCGCCCCTCCTCCCGTTTCAGCTCGTCGCATGCAAACTTCTCAAACATGCACGGGTGCCAGTGCATGGGTGGCACGCTGTAATTACCAGGCGTAAAACAGTAAGGATGACGCGTACAAATACTGTATCCTCTCCCCATGCATATCACATCCTAGTCAGCCCTTTGGACCAGGAACTTGGCTCTGTCCATGTGTGTACAGAGGAGTGCTCATCTAGATAGAGATCTCTGGGAACTACCTTATCATAAATATTCAATTAAACCACCAGGCTTTTGTAATTGCTGGGCCCAACTGATTGCGTGGAGCAGAATATCTTCATGCTTTGCAGAGGAGGTTTCGTTTTCCCACTTCCCAGAGGCAGAGTAGTCCCGCTGAGCAGCGTCACAAGGAGACGGCTCTGCAGTTAATTGCTGGATTTGTGATTCAGCAACTCTTTTCCTCAAATAAATGGCCATTAGTTGCTACCTTACTCAGTAGTTTCACTTCCTGTCTGACTTCAGCAACAAGCCCATGCTTTCCAGAACTGGTCACCTCCAACACTGGAGCTAAGCCATGAAACTGGGAGTAACCGAGGGGGTCCAGGTTGCACAGCTCATGACAGCCCAGCTCATGAACTAAGCAAACCACATCATCCCAGTTCCCCGAACACGCCATTGGCTCACACTCCTGCCAATTTACATGGCTGCCAAAAGATAAGGGCCTCAATCTAGCCAAGACAACCTCTCCAATCATAAGCCCAAGGTATCTGCAGCCCCGCCGGGAGAGTGCAGCTACCGAAACTAGAAGGAAAATGATGACAAACGTGAAGTCTCCAGAGTCAACAACGCTGGTCTCAGATACACCATGCGCCCCAGCCATGTGCTTTAACAGAAAACAAAAACTAATTATTGGATTTATCGATATCCATGTATAACCCCCGCTACAGAGCACAGCTATTTTGTCCTACAGCTCCCCTTCAACCAGCTGCTGCCGCCGTCCACTGGTGAATAATTCCCACAGCAGCACCGCTTGTAAAAATGCTTTGGGATTTTTTTTTTTTTTTGTGATGAAAGGCTACGTGCAGCAATTATGGTTTCAAAGGCGAGGCATCCTCTCCCTTCCATCATCCTCAGGGTTAATCTGGGTTATGGCCTGGCTACAGAATAGACTAGCTGGGACAGCAAACGAGGCCGACCTCTTCAGAAGAGGATTTTGTGCTCTCTTTAAAAGGCGGCTCTGCTGCCATTCTGCAGCATAGGTTTAAAATAGCTTCATTGATCTTGACCACTGCAAAGTTATCGAGTGGAACTGTTTTGTATCAGGAGCCTGGTAAAACCTGTGCCCTGGGCCAAAGCCAGCAGCTACTTGCTGTGATTTTCATTAGCCCCATCCCTAGCAGGCCAGCCCTTGCAGCTGTTACGACAGCAGTGCAGGTTCGGACAAGCGCCCTGCAGATTGGCGCGCGCGTCCTTCCTGGCTGGTTAAGGACAGCAGAAATAAGCGGGGATTACTGGCCTTCCCATTAATGGACGTGGATGAAGAGAAGAATGACGATGGCGGGGAACCCAACCTATGCTTCCCATATGCACAGAAAGCTTTCCCTGCATATCTGGTCAGCCCACCGCTTATTTTCTAATCTAGCCTTTTAGCATTGCTTATTAAAGAGCATGGCCTGGGAAATACCATGCCCGTCTGAACCGCATCGCTGGGCACAGCTGAGTCTAGAACCAAACCGTGGTGCGATGGGGGAGACCTACGTAATCCTCTTTTGGCAATGCTTTGGTGGGTCTGCTCTTGCTGACACCAGCAGCCTTGGAGTAAGCTGACCACACGCATCTTCCCCTTGGTCGGGGAAGCAGAGCCCATTTTCTACGAAGAGAAGCTAAGTGCATCCTTTTCCCCTTGTCCAGAAGTTTGATATATATGAGCCCGTGATGGGTTACTTTATGGGAACAGAGGCCAGGGCACCACCGCTGTGCTGATCTCTTGCGGATTGTCCCCCCCCCCCCAACTCCCAGTACAGACCAGTAAAGTTGTGAGAGCTCAAGGTCAGTTGGTATAAAAAGGAACAGCCAACAGCCTAGAGGGCTTTAAAGTTATTCCCCCCGGCCCAAATCAGCCAGACCCTGAGGACCTTCACAGCACAAAGCAAAGCTCCTCGGTCCCAGGCACGTAGGATAACTGGAAAAGAACGGGGCGCCAGCTTTCCCACAAAATTACAGCCTATGGTTTATGACGGTGCAGCACAAGCTACCGTATTATGGGTAAGCGTCCTTTCCAAAGAGCAAATATTTTTGCTTGGATGAGAGACAGTTTAAAGCTCAAACTGGAGGGATCTCAGGTTCCTTTTCTCCGGTCAGAATAAAATCTGCGAGGAACATCCAGAAGGTGCGTGGAAGTTCACTTTCTCCCGTTATTTGAGGGCCAGACTTTGCTGCTGGGAGAAGTGCACACATGGAGGCAGTTGGGCGGATGGCGGGGGGGATGTCTGATCCTGGCTCCGTGGGGGGCGGACAGGTCAAAGGACGTCCCCGATGCCCGGATTTCCCCAATGCCTGGATGCGTCTGCAGCTGTTCACATGGAAGCAGGCTCCACGGCCGACTTCGGGCAGGTGGCAAGTCCTTGTGCAGGGCAATTAATAGGTGGGCAAAACCACCTGGACCCCGTCACCTCCAGACAGTCAAGTTGTGCCACCGGGGCTAGAGCAGCAGCATCAAGTGCAAGAGAGGCTGGGACTGGAGTGGAAGAAGTGCACTGTGGGATGCCTGGAGGACCCCAACCCAGGACAACCATTCAAATGCACTTCGTGATGCCCCAGGAGAAGCCATTAGCCCTTTTTATTCTCTTCAATTTTGAGCTTTGCTCCAGGACACCAGAACAGGATCCCTGAACTGCATTTTTCCTGGCAAGACACCAGTTTCTCCAGGGACAAATGCAATGTCTGTTCATAGCTTACGGGCCACTACTGACTCGCTTTCTTGGCCTGGTAGCCCCAAGTGCAACCATATCCTATAACGGCTAAAATCATTTCTCTGCAAGTCCCTCTTTCTCCGCTTCAAACCATTCGCATGCAGGGCAGACAACCGAGTCGCTTCTGACCGGCCCACACGCGAATACATCAGGGGACGAACAGCTGGGAGCGAAGAGAAGTGTTGAAGCTAGAGGACAATGTTGACCCAAACACAAAACAGGCGTAAACTGGGCACGGATGAGTTTCTCCTGGAAAGGAGGAGAAGCGTCCGAACCTCCAGAGAAGGGAGGTCGTGGAATAGCTTTCAAACTAGTTTTTGCCTCTAATATTTCTACCCATGCGAAGTTGGAGAAGGACAAACTGCCAGCGACAGCAGCGGACTAAGCTTAAGGACTCAGAAAATCCTTTCCAGGCTTACGTACCTAGGAGCACGGCATAGGCAGGACACTCGTCCATCTGCTCCAGGACGCAGCGGCAAGGGCTGGGAACGAGGTCTTGCTGAAAGTTTCTCCCCTCGTGTCAATCCGAGACCGCTGGAGCGGTCTGGAAGGGGCCGGGCTAGATTTCGGGTCCCCTGGCTGCCAATCCCGCAGCTTAAATAGCGAGAACCCACTGCCTCGTCGAGTGTTTCTAGCATCCGGGGCAAGACATTTTTCAGTTCATCTCGGCCTCCTCTCTTCCCCGCCCTGGTCCCCCCGTTTTCCTTTGGGGACAATGCTCTTGTGCCCTCTGCGGCTCTTGAGGGAAAGACTAGTTAGGTTTCCTGGGCTCCGGGCCAAATCTGTATTTAATTTTAGTTACAGATCATGCAGCGCTCTAAATGAGGTAAGCAGGAGAGATGCTTTATGAATAGAGTAATTGAATAAATAATCTGAATCACTGGTGCTGTTTTATTATTTGATCGGTTTAGAAGCCGTCTTATTTACACTTTCTATAAAAAAAACGTGCTAATAAGGTTTCGGCGGTTTCGTTTTGTAGTAATCCCTGCTGGGATCCAAAACAAAAACGGGAATCCTACCATACCGCCAGCACGAAGAAGGGGGGCCAGTTTAATTTTACTCGGGTTTTCAAGCCATTTGCTCGCCTGGACAAAGCGAGTCAAATTTATCCTTGATATAACTTTGTAAGGTCAATGGGATCCGAGCTGAAATTACTCGGAGGCGTGCCATCTGCCACACCAAGCAGCGACAACGTGGGCGTTTAGCTCATTGTTTTGATGGAATAATATTACCGACGGGACAGAACAAGCAGGTATTGCCGAAGCGAGCACGCCAAATACCCGTGTCGAGGGACAGGTTTCACACCGGCTCCGTGGCTTTGTGCATGCAGGAGCAGAAAGAAATGAGGATGTGAAATTTTCAGGCACGACTCACGCTCCGAAGAGTGACTCTGCAGGCAGCAGTACCGTGGGGCCGATCGCACGTGGACTCTGCATGGCTTACAAACAAACAAAGGGATCGCTTTCCCACGTGCCGACCCTAGACGCTCGAGGCGCGGACGGCATCGCGACCGAATCAAGATCCTGCAGACTCGCGTCTCTCGCTGGCAATGCCGAAGGGAAGGAAGTGGCTGGGTGCAAGGCATTGCAAAGACGAAAGAAAGAGCAAAACCCGCCCTTGCGGCAGAGGAGCAACCCCAAAACGAAGCTCGTCGCGGAGCGCAGACCCTTTTGAGGGCTCTGCCTTTACCCGCAAGCATAAATGTTGTGAAAGCTGAAACCAACCCAACAAACCACACGCCTGCCTTTCAACTCCGCGCGAGCCGCTCTCCTCGCCGCCCAAGTGCCATTTCCGTGAGATCACTCGGCTGCACACCCGGACCGTGGCACGTAGCTCGGGCTGCATCAGCCCCGGGGACGGGCACTCGGTGGTCAAACACCTCTCCCACCCGCGACACAGCGCTGCCTTGCTCCGCGCGCCCCCGCTCCCTGAAAGCCCAGGCCGTTGTGCAGGGCGGGCGCCCCCGACTCATCGCCCGTTCCAGCCAACAAAGCACATTTTCGGGCGCTTCCCTGGAAGCGTGCAAGCAGCCTCCCTTGCCACCTGCCTGGCTTTTCATACTCGTATCGCTACGGCGACAGAGTGCCGATACGGGTCCCATCCGTGCCGCGCCGCGCCGCGCGCATTGGGGCGCACCCCAGGGTGCGGGGGACGCACCCGCTCGCCACCAAACCAGACCTCCTTTCGTGCCCGTCTCGATGGGG